TTTAGGTAAGGCCGGCCTACGTGCTCGTCCCATAAGTTATCTTTTTCTGCGCACTTTCAGGCGTATATGCGTGGTGAGCTACGGTTTCAGACAGTCATTGAAGCTCACCTTTCTCACTAAGGTTCTTTGAAAATGGCCGAGGTTCATGAGAGAAAATTGTTTATGAAGTGTATGAGAAGAAAAGGCCTCAGAAGAAGCAGATATATGCCGGAATGCTTTGCACATAGAGCTCTCCTCGCAAAGCATTATGGGATTTGCTGTCACAGCGGCCCGCTGTTGCCATAGGCTGTCACTACCAGACAGCGGGGACTAATAACAAAGATGGCACAGACACCGCGCAGGGAGACTGAGTCACGTGACCAACGGGGAGCAAAAAGCAGTGATCATCTGTCAGAACGGTCAGTTAACTGAGTTCACTATTAAGTCCACTATATAGTCCCCGCTCTATATAGTGACTGAGGGATTTAGGGGTTAGAGCGGACATTCGGACACAGTAAGCTTGTATGAGCTATGAGAACAGCAACTTTTAAACAGAGCTTGCGTGAGGAGAAATGGGCTTGTGCACGCTCTCACAGAGTTTATACAGGAATACGTGACTCTAATTTAGTGCTTATTAATGCTTTTGTAATGTTCTTAGATAATTTTTATGTCATCAACAAGTACCCTTGATATGACACCCATAATTATATATATATATATATATATATATATATATATATATATATATATATATAAAAAATATGCTAAAATCCTTCGGCATCTTTACTGTGGACAGGCTGCAGACATGCCCAAAATCCCTTGATTTTCAGTCACTGTTGATGAAATTTGCATTTTCCCATTCTCTAGCTTTTTCTCCGCCTCAAGCTTCTTTTACGTACATTCGGCTTTACGATTTACGGGAAGCAGTTCCGCACAAAAGTATCGCAATACATTTGCAGGTGGCGCGGTGGTTAGTTAGCATGACCCATGTATGGAGGCCTTAGTCCTCGACGCGACCAAAAGATAAAGGAACAACATAAGGAGTGGATGGTGAACATCCAACTACTTCTTCAAGCTGTTTATGTTTTCCCTCAAGTTCAGCTATTTTCAAGATTTAGAAAATAACTAAACCTAAATCCAAACTAATTCATGCATGGGGACTTTGAAGCTGGATTTAAGTAGGCAACAGTAGGGGTCATGCACATACCAAGCTGTTCCAACAACAGAGTAAGACAAGGTTATATAAATATTTTACAAGCTCATACACCAGTTGAGTTGTACTAAAAATGTCCTTTATTGTAAACCAGAAGAGGATTGTGCTCCGAAGCACCGCTAATGATTCATTAATCCTCACAATTAATTCCCAAACAAACTAAAATGATTCTATCCTTTAGTCAATTTGTCTCTGTGTACATTTTGTCCTCAGAGCCGACCGTCTGCATCTCATTTCTAACTTAAAGAATATGTAATCTACATTATAAACAGGGACGTAGCTAGATGGGGGCCAGGGGGTGGCCATGGCCCCCTTTAGCCAATCATTGGCCACCCCTACCATTTTTTCCTTTAAATACAGACTGTGGCAGCAGTAATACTCTGAAGGGGAATGTTAAAACTTATTAATCATTTAAATTTTTCATATATTAACAGCTACTTGACAACAGAAACACTGCGGTTAATTATGCACATCAATATACAAACATTAAAGATGATAGATACAGAATTCATGCTCTTTTCAGAACTAAATTTTGAATTATTTGGGGTAAAGATAAAATTATGTGCCTCTGCAAGTAATCTAGGAGTCTTCCATAAAATCATAAATAACTACTTTAATAATAACATATAAATTCATTAAATGTGGATATTAGTAGATTTAAATATCCTTTTTTTTTTTTGTAGAATGATTATCGGTCTCCGCCAGTCACGTGACATTTGTTGCTAAGACGCCATTTTTGGTGGAAAAAGCGTAGTGTAAACAACCGCAGCATAGCTAAACGAAGGACTAAAGGATTGAGTTTGTTTCTCTGACTATATGGAAAAAAGTAAGCAGAATGCGAAATTACCGGACAGGTGTCGTGCCAAGGTAGTTATCCCTGCGAAAATTTGTATCCCCTCGTCGGGAGCGCGCACGGAATAGGAAGAACAACCCGACTTAACTCCACTTCAATTCCAACATGCAGAACTTGAAATTTGAAAGGTTTTACGTGTATGAAAGTTGAGCTTTACTGTTTTATTCTTTACTTCACATGTTATAGCAGAATATCGCCAGTGATATTGATTTAAAACTGATTATAAAACACAAACGTTTGCTTGAAAGCTGGTCGCTGACAGCAGTGTCTACTCCTCCCTCTGAAAGCAAACAGATCCTTGTTCTTTTCCACACGTTCATTAAAAAAATCTCTCATTGTTTCACAGTGTCCAAATGTTCTCATCCCATTGAAAACTGTTGTAAACCATATACTTGTAATAAAAATGAAATAGAAAATGGAGTGCACGTGTAATCATTAAAGACTATATGCAGAAGGAAATATTTTTTTCCTGGTTGAAATTTAGTACTTAAATCTATATTTGTGTTTATAGTAACGTACAATTTATCTATGTTGTACTATCCTTAATAAACTGTTTGTCTTCTAACATCAGCCGTTTTATTTCATCCTATTTTGCCACAATTGGCAATATGGGATAAAATAAAACCTGCTGTAATCTGTTCCCCCTGTCTCAATCAGACAAAAAAGGCCCCAGCTTTTTCATTTTTGGCTTATAAGCATCTTTTATGATGACAATTTATTCCTGAAACTTTGGATGTGATTGACCTTTATTTCTTAAAGTTATAAGGGGGGAACAAATTATAGCAGGCCACCTGCTGTAATCTGTTCCCCCCTGTCTAAATCAGGCCAAAAAGGTCCCAGCTTTTTCGTTTTTTGCATCATAAAAGATGCTTATAAGCCAAAAATGAAAAAGCTGGGACCTTTTTGGCCTGATTTAGACAGGGGGGAACAGATTATAGCAGGTGGCCTGCTATAATTTGTTCCCCCCTTATAACTTTAAGAAATAAAGGTCAATCAACTCCAAAGTTTCAGGAGTTAGTTGTCATCATAAAAGATGTTTAAAAGCCAAATATGAAAAAGCTGGGACCTTTTTTGCCTGATTTAGACAGGGGGAACAGATTATAGCAGGTGGCCTGCTATAATTTGTTCCCCCCTTATAACTTTAAGAAATAAAGGTCAATCAACTCCAAAGTTTCAGGAGTTAGTTGTCATCATAAAAGATGTTTAAAAGCCAAAAATGAAAAAGATGGGGCCTTTTTTTGCCTGATTTAGACAGGGGGAACAGATTACAGCAGGTTTTATTTCATCCCATATTGCCAGTTCTGGCAAAATGGGATGAAATAAAATGGCTGATGTTAGAAGACAAACTGTTTATTAAGGATAGTACAACATAGATAAATTGTACGTTACTATAAACACAAATATAGATTTAAGTACTAAATTTCAACCAGAAAAAATTATTTTCCTTCTGCATATAGTCTTCAATGATTACACGTGCACTCCATTTTCTATTTCATTTTTATTACAAGTATATGGTTTACAACAGTTTTCAATGGGATGAGAACATTTGGATACTGTGAAACGATGAGAGATTTTTTTAAGAAACGTGTGGAAAAGAACAAGGATCTGTTTGCTTTCAGAGGGAGGAGTAGACACTGCTGTCAGCGACCAGCTTTCATGCAAACGTTTGTGTTTTATTATTAGTTTTAGATCAATATCACTGGCGATATTCTGCTATAACATGTGAAGTAAAGAATAAAACAGTGAAGCTCAACTTTCATACATATAAAACCTTTCAATTTTCAAGTTCTGCACGTTGGAATTGAAGCGGAGTTAACTCGGGTTGTTCTTCCTCCTCCGTGCGCGCTCCCGACGAGGGGATACAAATTTTCGCAGGGATAACTACCTTGGCACGACACCGGGACTGGCAGCCTCTCACACAACACGATCGTGTCATTTCTGGTAAATAATTGTGCCGAAAGAACAGCCGCGTGTGGCTTATCTCGACTTTCCACCTATTATGGTGGTTTTCCCACGATGCACCGCGCCCGAGGTAAACATTGACGTCACCTGGCGCAGACCGATTGATAAAAGTAGGTAATGATGATTAAAATATGTTCCCCCCAGAACTCAAACCTGAAAGAATTTTTCCACTATACTTTTTATTTACACAGTAAAGCCTATTTGTTAGCAAATGCTGCAAGAAAGTAGTTTGTCTTTATTTAGAAAATATGGATGTTGTGGTTTTTCCTGTTGGATCTGTTTAGATTGACCCTGAGGTTCTGGTGCCTTTCGGCCACCCCTCCATGTACATTGGTTATTGACTGACCGCCCCTATTAGGATTTTCTGGCTACGCCTCTGATTATAAATGAATATTAAAAAACGCAGCCGTCACAGCGCGATGTTTCTGAAAAGCTGGCTATATTTAGCTAACAATAACACCCATTCAAATTAAACATCTTATCTCTACATCCTTCGGAAAGTCTACCACATGCCAGTTCGTGACCAATAGGTTATAAAAACTATCTACTGTGTCAATATTCAATGTATAACCGCAGAGAGCGAGCTGGTGTATAAGCTGCAGCGAGATTTCTAAACTAAATTATAAGAAGAATCGCTGGCAGATAGTCAGCTAACATGAGATAATATTTAAATATGATAAGGCTGTGGCTTATGCATCGACAGCCCGTCGTATCACCGTGGTAGAGCTATCTCTTTTAGATTCATATCGAGCAGCCCGGGTTTAATTGTCCTTTATAAGCATCCTCTCACCTCCCGTGTGTGGCTCTCCTGCGCCACGGATGGATTAGCTAGCGGGCTAACTAGCTATATGCCAAAGCTAACCCCAGTTTCACCACTAAACGCTTTTAAATATTTAACAGACACACACCGCGTCCGGTTGACACATGATACATAAGCATGCCACCAGCAGGCAGTGTGGGTTTAAACATACACGACGCGTGAAGATGACTTACCTGCTAGCCTGTTAGCCGCTAACGGTCCCAGCTGCCAAAGACGGACGGAACACGGCCTCCTGGGCGCCTCGCTCGGTCACAGAGACGGTGGAGGAAGCGGCGGTTATTTAAGCTTGGTCGTGTTTTCTCAAGGTTATGGCTGCTCATTAAAAAAAAAACGGACACGAAGAGTTAGTGGGAGGGTCTGTCACTACGTGCGACTGGTTGACAGCATAGTAAATGATGGAAATGCGTGTGTCCGCCTCCCTGCTGGGTGGATGAGTGGTTTGGTCAGTTACAACCTGCCTTCACAACATCCTCTTCCTCCTTCTCTCCGTCACCATCCTCACTCTGTACAGAACCAAAAAGGATTAAAAAGAAAATATGCATTATTAACTATTTGATTGAACTGTTGAATATTTGAATCGTGGGGAGTTTCTAAATAAATTGACTGATCATTTTATAGGGCAACGTACCTGTAAGACACTCCTCTGGGTTTATTTTAACCTGCTGATTTGCATTAGATGTGCTGGGAGAAGAATTTGACCATTTCCTAAAGTCCAAAAACCAAACCCCTAAACGTTTTTTTTATTATTTTTTAATGAATTGTATTTAAAAATGAAACTAATAGAATGAATATACGATTTATTAACTTAATTATTATAGTTTTATTTTTTTGTTTGTTTGTTTTGTGGGAGAATTTATAAATAGCATCGCGATCCACACTCCATTCCAGTAGATGGCGGTAATGCACATAAATAAGTTGCTTGCCAACCGCCATAAAAAAAGGAGAAGAAGAAGAAGAAGAAGAACGTCCAAAAAGTGTTCTAGAGCGGAGGTCTTCAACAAGGGGTCCGCGACCCCCAGGGGCTCCACAGAGGGACTGCATGGGGGTCACGAAAGTTTTGGCTGATTACACGTTTTTTTTTTTTTATATCCCCCCTGCAATTTTTTACACTAATTGAAATTTATATCATTACACATGAACATGAATTCAACAGACTGTAGCAAAAAGATAAATGGAGGCAGAAGATGTCTTTCAGTCATCAATGCACACTTTCAGCGACACACAGGAGCTCTTTCAAGCTGAACACCTTTTCATTCACAACACCTGTCCCATCAACCAGGAATCAGAATCAGAAATAATTTAATAATCCCAGGGCGAAATTAGTTTCGTTACATTACTCCATATGTAATAGAGTGACTTTAGGGCAGTGGTGTCAAAAGTACACACATTTGTTACTTAAGTCGAAGTATAGATACTGCAGTTTAAAAACACTCTAGTAAAAGTTGAAGTATCAACTTGACCTCTTTACTCAATTAAAAGTCAAAAAGTATGTGCTCCAAAAACTACTTAAAGTATAAAAGTATAAAGTGACCTTTAAAAAAAAAAAAACAGCCAGATGTCACTATATGACTTGAAAGTTCAATTTTTCGACTATTTCGAAAAATTCTTTAATAGGGCCAAGGGTGAGGGAGGTCTTGTTGGTCTCTGTCTCCATCTCCCGATATGCTCTTGCCTGAGTCCGACCTTTCAGACATTTTAACATCTTTTTCTGAACCCAACATTGTAGCATGGCATAGATGATTCACGTTTGCAGTTTGAAGAACACCTGCTTGCTTCTGATGATTTCCTTTAGCTAACCAATGAGTGTTTGCATTATATGACTCATGCAATACTAGTTTTCACTAGATGTGCATGGCGCCAATGATCTGCATTGGATGGCACATATGACATGAAATAAATATTATTACTATTTACCGAAGCCAAAAGTAACGAGTAACATTTGTTTTAAAATGTAAGGAATATAAAGTACAGATACTTGTGTGAAAATGTAATAAGTAGAAGTCAGAAGTAGGAAGAAAAAGAAGTAGTGGAGTAAAGTATAGATACCTAAAAAGTGTACTTAAGTACAGGATGGATGGATGGATGGATGGATGGATGGATGGATGGATGGATGGATGGATGGATGGATGGATGGATGGATGGATGGATGGATGGATGGATGGATGGATGGATGGATGGATGGATGGTATTTAGTTTTTTTTGTACTGAAGAAAAAACAAACATGTTTAGGTGTTATTTTTCTGCATAACTCTGTAAAACCTTCTACTATTTTAAGAAGTGCTTAGAGCCCCCTGCTGGTCTCTGATCTTAAAGATCTGTGGCATCTTTATGCTTGTACTTTTTAGCTTCCTGTTTTTAATGTTTTTATCTGCCTGTACAGTGTCCTTGGGTGTTGTGATAAGGCGCTTTCAAATAAAATGTATTATTATTAAAGAGGACAAGATAGAGCAGAAACAATTAATATGACTATCGGTAGTTGTTATTAACAAATTACTGAAATAATCATTCAATAATATAGTAACTGAATAATCACAAACAGAATATGCATACTCTGAAACATGCCTACTCAATGCAGCAAATAGAGCAAATTATGTGTGCTTGAAAGTGTACCTGCCCTCCCATTAAAGCAAATCATAAATCCACTCTAGTAATTTAAATAACACAAAACTGAAAAAGTAATAATATATAAAAATTACTAAATTATAATTTAGTGAAATAAAATATTTATTTTGAATTTATGTCCAAAAATACCTCTGAAAAGCAAATTGTCCCATACAAATGAAAGTACCTCACCTTACGTGTAAACAGGTGCAGATGTCTTACTGAACATTTTCTAAATATTACAGAAAACACCAGATTTTATTTGTGATTTCAGTTTCCTCAAAGTGATGCTCAACAAATTTAGGTCCAGGAGCTTCATTAGGATTGTTTACTCATTTTTTCTATTAATATTTACATATGCATGTATGTAAATGTATTCAAAATAAATGTAATGATTTTCATTTTTTGTCATTTCTATTTAATTTTACCTTTGTCAATTCCAATTTATCTTACTGGCAGCTTTTTTTTTTTTTTATGCAAAAATTCAAGCACAACTTATATGTATCAGTATACATAAAATGTAAAACATCTTTGTCTGCAAATATAAACCCCAGAACTCTTTGAATGATTTTTTTGAACATTAAACTCTGTTTTTCTAAGATGTTTTAGCTATGCAAGAGATATCTTGGGTTGTTAAGTTGAAACACTTGTTTATTGGGACATGTTAATTTACTTTTAGAATAGTTTAAAAAAATAATTGCTAGATTAGTTGATTCCTCAAATAACCGATGTATGTACAGTATATGGTGCGCACCAAACCCGGAAATGAAAGAAAAATACAATAAAGGGAGTCCAGCTTACAGGACCTCTGTTCTGAATATTTGTTCTATAATAGCAATTGTAAAATCATTGTCAAGTGCACCTGGATACATTTTATTCCTAATTTTGAAATAAAAACATCAAAGATTGAGTCCTACAAGCTTGACAATAATTACTGCATGCTGGCAGCAGGGTTGCCAAGGAACAGACAGCAGATCCAGTATGGTTTTAGTCCCATGTTAACTATAGTGGAGCGTTAAGCCCACATGACATTATCTGGCCTTGTATGCTTCATATTTCCCCCAGAAACAAACCACACCACTATTTGTTTGGAATAAAAAGACCACCTGTAAAACATCCGGTTGTTTGGTTCAGAACAAGTTTTGCTTCAGTGCATTCACGCTTGCACAAAACATCCAGACCAGGTGGAAAAACTAAATCTTGTCTGCTTAAGGCAGTGAAAAGGTGGCTAATGTAAATAAACATAAATAAACTCATAGTTAAGTCAAGTTATTCTTACATAACATACATTAAATTGTTTTTTTAATACCTGTTTTACCTTTTGCATAGAAGTTTGGATACATATTAAGTGAATATGTTGGTATACCTAAGGAATCTATAAAGGAAACCCAGCTGATTGTATGGAGTCACTGATCTGCAGAAGTAAACCCACCTTAATGAACGTGTTACACCACAAGACAGTCGCTTCAATTGTCATTGACTTTCCAGCAATACCTCATACAGAGCATGTATGTTGAAGTGAGACTTGATCCTAAAACAACTCCATTATATTTGACCTTTACTTTCCCCTCTTTTCATGGTTTGACAAAAAATCTGAGTCAACAGCTAAAAATATTAATGCAGTCAAAAATGGCTTGAATTCACTGTTTATTTAAAGAACAATGTTGTAATGAAGGACTTCCCTATTTGATTGTAAAAACCTCTGTTGTATCTTTCTAAAAATTACTGTGAAAATCATATACTAAATATGAACATGGGGAAGAAAATCAAAAATCTTTTAAGAAATACCTACTAATTAAACCAAAAGCTGTCTTAAAATAAAATTTAAAATATTTTGTTGTCAAACAATTGCTGGTATCAGTTATGCATTTTAATGCAAAAGTAATCAAGCGTGGCATTTTAAAAACGCCAGAGTCACTAATGGGGTTAGTATTGGCTGTAGTCTCCATATTATACAGGTGCTGGTCATAAAATTAGAATATCATGAAAAAGTAGATTGATTTCAGTAATTCCATTTAAAAAGTGAAACTTGTATATTATATTCATACATTACATACAAACTCATATATTTCAGATGTTTATTTTGTTTAATTTTGATGATTACAAATGACAACAAATGAAAATCTCAAATTCATCATATCAGAAAATTAGAATATTGTGAAAAGGTTCAAAATTGATGGCCCCTGTTGCCACACTCTAATCAGCTAATTAACTCAAACCACCTGCAAAAGCCTTTAAATGGTCTTTCAGTCTAGTTCTATAGGCTACACAATCATGGGGAAGACTGCTGACTTGTCAGTTGTCCAAAAGACGACCATCGACACCTTGCACAAGGAGGGCAAGACACAAAAGGTCATCGCTAAAGAGGCTGGCTGTTCACAGAGCTCAGTGTCCAAGCACATTAATAGAGAGGCGAAGGGAAGGAAAAGATGTGGTCGAAAAAAGTGTACAAGCAAGAGAGATAACCGCACCCTGGAGAGGATTGTGAAACAAAACCCATTCAAAAATGTGGGGGAGATTCACAAAGAGTGGACTGCAGCTGGAGTGAGTGCTTCAAGAACCACCACACACAGACGTATGAAAGACATGGGTTTCTGCTGTCGCATTCCTTGTGTCAAGCCACTCTTGAACCACAGACAGCGTCAGAAGCGTCTTGCCTGGGCTAAAGAGAAACAGGACTGGACTGCTGGTGAGTGGTCCAAAGTCATGTTCTCTGATGAAAGTAAATTTTGCATTTCCTTTGGAAATCAAGGTCCCAGAGTCTGGAGGAAAAGAAGAGAGGCACTTCATCCACGTTGCTTGAAGTCCAGTGTAAAGTTTCCACAGTCAGTGATGGTTTGGGGTGCCATGTCATCTGCTG